AAATAAATGGAACTTGGGAGTTGATAGACTTGTCTAATGGAAAAATGCTATTGGGTTGAAATGAATTTTCAAAACAAGGTACCATGCAGATGGAAGTATACAGAGGCACAAGGCCCGACTAGTAGCAAAGGGATACTCACAGCAAAATGGTATTGATTACGAAGAGACATTTTCTCCCTTTGCTCGATTTGAAACTGTGAAAACAATTTTGGCCTTGGCTGCACAACTACAGTAGGCATTTATCAATTTGATGTAAAGTCTACCTTTTTGAATGGTGAATTGGAAGAGGAGGTCTATGTTACTCAATCTGAAGGTTTCATAGTCAACGACGAACCAAAAAAGGTTTACGAACTATGAAAGACACTCTACGAGTTAAAGCAAGCTCCACGAGCATGGTATAGCAAGATTGATTCATATTTTCTACAAAATGGGTTTCAAAGGAGTGAAAATGAGCCTACACTTTAGTTGGGAAAGCAAGGTAAGAATGATCTTCTTATAGTCTACATCTATGTTGATGACATAATTTACATGGGCTCAACTCACTCTCTTATAACTGAATACAAATATAGTATGAAGTGTATGTTTGAAATGTCAAACTTAGGTTTGTTGCATTATTTTCTTGGGCTTGAAGTAAATCAAGGTGAAGATGGAGTTTCTATTTCACAAATGAATTATACAATAGACTTGCTCAAAGATTTAATATGGTAAATTGCAAGGTCGCAGCTACACCAATTCATGTGAAACCCGCAAGCATATAGGATTGTTGACAAGTAATAGATTTAGTGAGTTGAGAGTATCATCTCATGAGGAATAAAATTTAATTGAGTATACTAGTATTTAATTAGATTCAAAGTGATCAAACAAAAGTGTTTCGTAGATTTTTAATTACTCTACTTAATCTACAAAAACTTGTAAAGTGTGAATTTAATCTGTGTATGGGAAGAGTTTATTGGATTACAAATCCACCTATTATTATTATTCGAATTCTTGACTACGTAGCTAATTTCATTCATGCATTTTTGACAATCGATAACTCTACTGTAATTAATTTTCTTTTCCAAGACAAATTAAATCTATCCTACTCATGACTAGAATCTATTTCTAGTCCAAATTCGAATGAATAGAAGACGATTAATTTCACAATTATCTTAAAGATTGCATACATGATAAACATCATTCCTAAAATTTAATGTACGTATATTAATCAAGTAGTGTTCTAGACCTACTGTGAACCTCCCAGCACTACAATAAGCAACTATATATTTAATTCCTAATCAAGCAATCAAATAATAAAATTAAGCATGTAAGATTAATAAAAAAAATTACAAGAATTTAACTAAACCACGTGTCTCGAATAATTAACAAAAGGTTTCATCTTCATCCATTACATGAGGAATATTAGCTTAGCATAATGTTGGAATTAAACACAAAAAGCGGAAAGACATCACAAAAATTTGACGAAACGTGATTAACTTCCAAATTCCTTGCACAATTATTGATGATTAATTGCACAAATATTTCTGCGATGATTCACTACTATTGCTGTTTTTCCGTTTGCTTTATGTGGTATAAATGTTTAATTCCTACAACCGGCAGCCACACTTTTTCTATGGTTAAGTCTGTATATGAATTTAACTCCCAGCCTCAATGTTTGATTCCGATAAATGAACTTGTATGTTCTGTCTTTTGCCAATAAATACACTTGCAGCCACCAACTTTGTATATAGATTAATCAATTCAGCCACCCAATGTGTGTATCTATAATTCAGCAGCAAGGTTCCAGCCAGGGGCGGAGCCACTACACGCCCAGCGCGGGCAGATGCCCGCACTGGACTTTTGGGCAAAAAAAAAAAAAAAAAAAACATTCATTCATTTCAAAATTTCTACCCTTCATGACTTTGTCTGTGACGATTTCACACTTCGCCACCCACTTCCCTCTCCACTGGTGACAAAGCCCGCCGTTCCCTTCCCTCTCCGTCAACCGTTGTCTTCGACAGTCGTCACAGTACAATCGTCGTTCCCTTTCCCTCTCCGACAGTTCATTATTGTATATCTCCTACTTTAGGCTCTCATCTTGACATCTCACATCTCTGACTCCGACTTTACATCCTCAACTCCGCCAAGGCGCCAAGTGCCAACGCCAACCAGCCGAGTCGGCAAAAGAAGAAGCCAGATTCCAGAAAGCAAAAGGCGAAGCCCCAAATTTTTTTTCCCTTATTTTTTTTTTGGTTATTTCAGTTTGTGTAAATTGTAATAATATTTTTTTTTGTTTTTTGTTTTTAACATATTAAATTAGCACTTTGTTCTTTAATTGCTCGAAGCGGCACAAACTTCCAGTGGACCACCAGTTCATTGTTGCCTCTGGGCTCTGGCTCTCTGGGAATCTATGATTGCAAGTTCAAGTTGCCTAGTATTTGGAAATAGTATATATTGCATTGTGAGATTGTGAATTGCACTAGTTTTTTGAGTTGCTTCCAGTATTTGTGATTCATTTGACATCTCGAATTACTCCCACTCCTAGTAGTAATTGGGTGATTAGTGGATGAATGATAACACAATTGTTTATGTGGAGAAAGATATATTTTTCAGGTTCAATAATGAAGTTATTATACAATGATATCAAAGTATGAAAACTCGCAAAGAACAAGTGTAATATATAAATTATGTCGTTTTTAGTATTGATGTACTATTGTTTTATTTTTTTATTGTCATTAAATCCCTGACCAAAACCTCGACATTTGTCGTCAAAAAAATTTTGCCCGCACTGAACTAAAATCCTGGCTCCGCCCCTGGTTCCAGCAGCCCTTTTTGTCTTGTCTTTCTCCACCAACAGCCGTCCCTCTATGTATCTGAATTCCTCCTCTCTTTTTTTGTGCTTTAATTCCTTCCGAATTCCCACACTAGCCTCAATGTTTTTCTCCCCAAAATTCCTTTGGCCGTCGTTTTATTTCTGTAATTTTTCCCCAGATTTGCAGCCCCAATTCCCATGTATATATTTAACAACGAACACAGGTCAGCCCTTCTCCTTGGAATCCAATTAAATTCCAACCAATTATGTAATTTGATTCCAATTCATGGTCCAATTGAGGCCCAATTATTATTTTTTTCCTCAAGTCCTCACTTCTTCCAAATAATGCAAGTTAATCCTCGATACAATTTTATTTATGCGACTAATGTCCTTCTCAACTTCAACTTGTGAAATTTAATCCCAAATTATAAATTTTAATCGATTATGTCCTTCTTCCTTTCCATCTGCTTCAAACAAGTCGAACACTAAAAACAAAAAACAAAATTCGCCTAAGGTAAATAGAAATTAATAATTTGAGGACTTAAAAATTTAATAATGTAGCATAAATAAATACGCAAATTGCACTTATCAACACCAATGAATGTGAATGAAAAAATTCAGCTTGAAGATGGTACTGAAAAAGCTAATGCAAGAAGTTTTAGAAGTTTAGTTGGAGGTTTAACATATTTGGCTCATACTCGGCCAGGTATTTCATTCTCTGTGGGTGTTATCTCAAGGTTCATGAGTAATCCTTCAAAGCATCATTTTGGAGCTGCAAAAAGGATCTTATGTTATGTTGCTGAAACATTGAATTATGAAATTTGGTATACTCATGTTTCAGATTTTAGACTATTTGGTTTTACTGATAGTGATTGGGCAAGCTCTTTGGATGATACAAGGAGCATTTCAGGCAATATTTTCAGCCTTCGATCAGGTGCAATTAAATAGTGTTAAAAAAAACAAGCTTTAACATCATTATCATCTTCAGAGGCAGAGTATGTTGCAGCTACTACCTAGGCATGTCAATGTATATGGCTTAGGAGACTTCTTGCAGATATTCATCAAAGTGCAAGTGAAATTTTCTACGACAATAAAGCCACAATTGCAATGACAAAAAATCCTTTATTCCATGGAAGAACAAAGCACATAGACATTCGCTTCCGTTTTATTCGTGACCTCGTGTCAAAAGAAGAGATTGCATTGAAGTTTTATAACACAAATGAACAAGTGGCTGATACATTTACGAAGGCTCTACCATGTAAAAACATGTCAACTTCAGATTACTACTTGGTGTGTGTAATTTTGAATCAAGGGGGAGTGTTGAAAATTGATTCGAAATTTATCCAAATTTGACTTAGTCTTTGATTTTTCCAGTAGATTCTTGCTCCTAAATTCACTGTTTATGGTTAGCAAATAAGTCTGAAAGTAGTGGCAATAATATCTAGTATTAGTTGATATTTTTTTTTTTGCTTTTCAGTTTGCTTGTAAGCCTATAAATAGGCACCTTCAGTTCTGGAATAAAAACATTGCAGATAACTTGCAAACTCTGCATTACTGAGTGTTAATTTCTCTCTATAGCTCCTTCCTTTCTTTTTGAATACTCTGCAACTCTAAATTCCCAACACAAACATAACAAAATCTAGGAACTCATTATTAGTAACAATTTACTTATCCGCTTTTCTCCACATAGGATGCGTTGCTTAATGTTGATCTTGCAAATTATTTAGCTGTCGTCGTAATTTTGAATTCATTTTCAACTAAAATTTGACTAATCACATAGTCTAGTATTACTAATGAGGGCTACAGGTGACATTGAATAGAATGGAACTTGTGAAGGGCATGGTTATTTGGAGCAAAGAAGCTGGGAACAACTGAAGGTACCAGATCACCATCTATCTATGTCGATGCATTATCTAGAAAAAAACTTTGGAAGCTGTATTTTAGAACAAGTAACTACTGGATTTGTGCCTTCAGACAAGACACCAGAATTTTGGGATGTAATGGAAAATATTAAACAAGATTTACTTAGTAACACCCAAAGTACGATCGATTTAGATGAGAAATGTCTATTGAAAAAGGTCGATTCTCTCTCCTTCCTCTTGCAAGATCCAGTACGAAAGTCGAAAAAGGAAATTACGATGAAAGTGCTAATTGTGGAATATATGTTACGTCTAATCTTGCAAATGACTGATGATGCATGAAAAGACCAGCGATGATATATTTGCCTCTTCAAGAAATCTATAGGTCTGGTTTTGGTTGCATGTCAATGGCGCCGGGTGCTGGCTCCGCACCTGCTGGCTCTGTCGGAATCTTTAGAACTATTGGGTAACAATCACCAATCAAGCCCGTTTACACTTCACCGTTGCAGCAGTTGCAGAAGCGCCGGAGTCTGGAAAAGGAAGGCGAAGAGAGAAGAGGCCCTTTTTCTTTTTTGGTTTGGGCTTCAGTGAAGTTGCAAATTTTGGGCCTCTTATTGTTAGCCCAATTATCAAATGAAATTGACAAATTATCAAATTTATTAAAGACCTAGTAGCCAAGGCCCAAGAATCTAAAATGCCCAAATCAATTCCCAAATCGTGGAAGCCAAATTGCCAAACCCTTTTCAAGCTTCCTCACTTCTTTCTTCGCCCATGCACACAAGACACAACCTAACTGAGCTCCAGCCTTCGGTTTAGGTAGACCACATCGTAGAATCCATCAAAGAAGAGGCAGCATTCGTCAGAGCCCAGAGCCAAGTGCCAACTGACCGCCGTTTCGTTTGCCTTCTAGTCTCGAGCTCGAGCTGGTGGCTCTTTCTCCCTCTTTCTTTTTTGTTTTGGTTTTGTTCTATTTTTTAGCTAGCCTACCTACTATCTGGTTGTCTACTTGACCTGGAGTAGTTGATGTTGAGTATTGAGTAACTTAAGTTAATGTTAATTATGATATGATTTATTCATTTGGGAATTAAAAAATTGTGAATTGTAATTTATGAATTATGATAAGTAATTTACGTTTTATGAGTTATGATTATTGATTCAGGAATTTATGTTTACGAAATTATATTTGAGAATTGTGATTTATGATAAGTAATTTATGTTTTGATGAGGAATGATTATTGATTTGGGAATTTATGTTTACGAAATTATGTTAGCGAATTGTGATTTATGATAAGTAATTTATGTTTTGTGAGTTATAATTATTAATTTGGGAATTTACGTTTAGGAAATTAAGATAAGTGAAAAAAATTAATTGAGAAGATGTTGGAAGCTCAATTCACCCGTGTGTACTTGGTTATTTTTTTAATCAATTGTAATTGAAAAATAAATTGGGGCATTTTGCAGATTATGGAACAATTTTTTCAATAGAAACGAAAGTCCATACCCAATTTTTCTAGATTTAGTTGTGCATCTAGTCCCGCCACTGATTCTAGTCGAGCACAAGAGTTATTGAATAATACAAAGAAGTCCTGGGCTCAATTCAATGTGCATGATCATGTATCTGATCTAGGGATACACTCCCCTATCGAGTCATATAATCTTGATATCAGAGATGATATTAGGATAGCATACTTGGAGAAGGATTCTTGTCAACCATATGGACATGATTTTCTAAGAAGAAAGATGGGGAATGATAATAGATGTCTTCGGAAAGAATGGTTCTCCGAATTTTATTGTTTGGAGTACAATATAGAAAAGGATGCGGCATACTGTTTGCATTGCTACATATTCAAACCCAATAGAAAGGGTCAAAAGAGTGGACATATATTTACTAAGATCGGCTTTAAGTATTGGAAGCACAAAAAGACATTGAAAGATCATGTCGGTCTCTTTGATAGTGCTCATAATTAAGCTTTTACAAAGTGTACCAACTTGATGAATCAAAAGCAAAGTATCTCCTATATTATTTCTAGCCAAAGTAGTAGTCAACAACAAAGTTATAGGACTAGGTTGACTGCAATGCTAGATTGTACTAGACTCCTCTTGATGCAGGGATTGTCATTTCGTAGTCATAATGAATCTAAAGAGTCTCTTAATAGAGGAAATCTAATTGAGCTACTGAATTGGAATACAGCTCATTGTAAGGAAATTAAAGAAATATTATTTAGTAATGCTCCTTGAAATGACCAATTGACTTCACCAACCATCTAAAAGGATTTGGTTAATTGTTGTGCTGTAGAGACGACAATGGCTATTATCAATAAGATAGGTGATTCTTTGTTTTCAATTTTGGTTGATGAAGCTCATGATAATTCAATGAAAGAACAAATGCCAGTGGTTTTGAGGTTTGTTGACAAAAGTGGGCAAAGTGGGCAAGTGAATGAGCATTTTTCGTATGTCCCATGTCATTGATACTTGTGCCCAATCACTGAAGGATGCCATTGAAGCAATGTTTTCTACACATGGGTTGAGCATATCTAGCCTGAGAGGTCAAGGCTATGATGGAGCAGGTAATATGTTAGGTTAGTTCAATGGTTTGAAAGCTTTAATTCTTAGAGAGAACCCACACGTTATATATGTTCATTGTTTCGCTCATTAGCATCAGTTGGTAGTTGTATCTGTGGCACGTAGGAATTGTATGCTTGGTGATTTTTTCAACATTGTTGTAAAATTTTGTTTCGCAAGCATACGACCCATAACAAGTAATAGTGGACCTAAGAGTCCGAATTGTCGATCCCACAAGGACTATTTTCTAACACTTAATTCAATTTTTTTCTTTAACTACTATTTGATTAAAACAAATTAAAAGTTGTAAAATCTGAGTTTTAATATAAATTCTAGAAAATAAATGGATGTTCAAATGATTGGTTGGAGAATCAAATAATGAATGGATGTTAGGGAAGAATAACTTCATCAATTGATCACCTTTACATCTCAAATTAAAACTTAATTCTAATGTAGTGCTCGGTTGAATTCTCCTATTGTATTCAATTTACCCCTCTCAAGTTCTCATTGAGCCTATTCAACTAATTAAATTTCATATCTCTATGCAAATTCAACTTAGTTAAACGAGTTCTATGTCCTAGGAATTCAATTATGATCACAATAAATGGTATAGGTATCTCTACTCGTTATACTAATGTACTGGATTTTACTACATGGTCTAAATCCTAAACTCATATCTCTATTTGTAAAGAATTCACAAAAATCATCAAATTATTGATTAGATAATTTAATGCATTCAGTTCATAGCAAAATTAACACATGAAAAAATTAAAAACTGAGAATCTTAATAAGAGAATGTAAATAGTCTCAATTGATTACATTATTCCCCCTAACAATGAATTTAGCTACTCATAATACAAGAAGAGAAATAGGAAATTGTCTTAGAATACGTCATCAGATTTGTAATAAAGATTAGAAGAAAAAGTAGAATTCTTGCACCAAGATCGCATTCCTCTTCCAATGAATGCTTTTAATCTTCAATTGCTTGGTGTTAATCTTCTTGAATTTCTCTTTTGAATCTCCCATTTTATTGTCTTGTCTCCAATATGTCAAGAACCCTTCAAAAGTATGAGAAAGATGTATTTATAGGTGCCCTCCGTTTTGTGCAGAAATAGGGTTTTTATGGATTTTAAAACGACCCAAAAAAAACTCGCCCTAGATACTCATTTGCAGCGCCTAAGCACTACGAGACAGCGCCTAAGAGCTGATGATAGCACCTGGGCACTATGATTGTGGCGCTTAGGCACTGCCTCTTGGGTTCAAATTTCATCTTTTTTTCAATTTCGTAGTGCCTAGGCGCTATGAATGCAGCGCTGTCTTTCTGCCCCAATTCCGTGTTTTTGGCTTCTTCGTCCACTTTAATACCTCTTTTTGCATCACCTCTCCTAATCTTCAAAACAACACTAACAAACAATCAAAAATGTTCTATACTCACAAGATCTAGCATTCAATCAAGCTAAACTTGTGCAAAAATCATGAGTGAACACAAATTCATCAAATACCCCCAAACTTAACCGTTTGCTAGTCCTTGAGCAAACAAACATATCAAACAATAAAATCATCCAAGGACGATGCACACATAACTAGTCAGTTAGACAGCTTGTCTTTTTGGCTTAGCGTTGATGATATTATATTATATTTATGAATGGTGTTAAAATCACAACGCAAGAACCAAATTTCCACTCATACAATGCGAAGTGTGTGTGTGTGTGTGTGGAGGGTCAAGCGTAGCGTCGTACATTCACAAGTTGGTTTACTTCCCAACCCTCAACGGTCAATTATTTCTTTTCTTCACTCGTAAGATTCACACACCCCCAAACTTGGTTCTTTTATTCTCTTACCATGGTGTAATTCTAAAGTTCAGTTTTGCTTAAGATTTCCTCACAGCACTCTAATTTGGATTAGTTCAACCGGCAACATCAACAATTCATTCATGTAGTGATTCTCCCAATTTATGAGTGTTTCAGCAATCTAGTTTATACTTAGTGATTCAAACCCACTAGTTATCTAGGTCCCCAAAATCAGTTTCTTTCTTTTCTTTTCTTTTCTTTTTTTTTAAATTTATTTAATTTTTTTTACCTCACCTTTTTTTCCACTTCTTGACCCCTGTAGCGAGTGTTAGGTTGGTAACTCTCTGATTGTTTTGTATACCAAAGGGTACCAGGTTTCAAGAGACCCCTACGGACTTAATAACTTGAGTAAAAAAAGGTGCAGGTGTGAGACTCAGCTGAATATGTGCAATGCTTCTTCTCTAATAAAAAGAAGCAAAATTTATTGGGGTTAGATTTCTAGCATTCGGTCATCACCAGGCTTATACCAGAAAATTAAATACACTCCACACAATTTTTTTTACATGCACGGAATCACTACAATCTTAAATCATTTCTTTCATCGGTTAGAATGCCCCAAATTATAATGTATACGGTTAAGGGGTATTGACATTCATAGGTTACGGGATTACACACCAAGTCATCTCTTTAGCCTATGTGCATGAGCCCTCATGTTCCTGTACAATACTCAACTTAATACTCGTGCATAAATGTTATACCGCTTCATACGGATAAGCAAAAAGTCAAATCAAAATATATGATTCATCCACAATCCATAAACTAATACATGTTCTCAAATATATTCATCATAATTGGTAAGACTATCTAACTCACACAAGCATGCAGAGTATGAATTTTATTTTATTATTTTTTTTGAATAAAAACACAAACACATAAACACAAGCAAATCACACATAAGTATTCGAGAAACTCAACAACATAAACAAATGATGTCACTCCCCCAAACTTAACTGAAACATTGTCCTCAACATGAAATTTAAAGGAAAAGGAGGAGGACTTCCCTGAAATGTCAGTATTGCCTATGATGTTTTGGTGTCTTGGTGTTGCATTTGATCGACTCTTCTTCTACATTCTCCCCCAAACTTGAGATTTGTCCCATTTTCTCCATGTCCATGTTGGTTTGAGTGTTCCGCGACGTCATGTTTCTGAAAAATTAAATTTGAAAAATTAAACTCATAAAACAAGGATTACTTAGCATCAAACATCTAATAACCAACTTAATTACTCTAAGAACTATGGATAGAAGGGGTATGGATGATGATTCCTAAATAAACTATAGATTAAACTATCCTAAAACTTTGAAAATAAAATAAAATAAAATAAAAGCTTGGGTTGCCTCCCAAAAAGCGCTTCTTCTGAGTCATTAGCTTGACTTGTGCCGCTGATTTATCATGGTGGCTCAAACCAAGTTATTTCATCATTGCACTTAGTGCAATTTTCATTGATGCAGTCTTTTTTTGTTCTCCAAATTTTGATTTGTCCATTCTTATCTCTACCAAGAAGTTCTCTAAAATTTGTTTTTTTTTGTTCTGACATTGGTCAGGTGGCTCTTCTTCATCAATTCTATAGCAATCATTTTTATTGGGAGGTTTCTTATATTGAATGTAAATATTGAATATCTCTTGCTTGTCCTCCACCCTCAAGATTATTTCTCCCTTCTCCATGTCAATAAGGGTTCGTCCCGTTGCTCAGAATGACCGACCTAATATTATTGGAATGTCTCGATCTTCTGGTATGTCCAACACAATGAAATCCACAGGAAATATTAAATTTCCTACTTTGACGAGTACATCCTCAAATTTGCCACATGGTCTTGTGATTGTTCTATCAGCTAGTTGTAGCGTTATTGATTTTGAGTTGACTTCATCTAGTCCAAATTTCCTATAAGCAGAATACGACATTAGATTGATAATAGCACCAGTGTCGCACAATGCATGAATTGAATAGGAATTTCCAATTGAAATTGGTAAAGTAAAACTCCTTGGATCCTTCAATTTAGGAGGCAATTTTCTATGGACTCTTGCACTACTCTCCTCAGTTAATGCCACAGTTTCAAACTTCGGAAGCTTTCTTTTCTTTGTCAACATCTCTTTCAAAAATTTAGTATAGCTTGGAATTTGTAGTATCGCATCAATGAATGAAACATTGATCTGGAGCTTCTTGAGAACATCGAGGAATTTTTCATAGTTTTTGCCTTATTTGTTCTTCTTGAGCTTTTGAGGAAATGGAATGGGAGGCATGTAAGCTTTGTCTAGACTTGGTGCTTTGGTAGCTAATGTTTCTGTACTTTCTCCATTTTCAGTTGCGTTTGGTGCAGATTTTTCCACCCTTGTAGGTTCATCAATCACTTCTTGGTCATCTTTTCTTTTGGGTCTCTCTGTAGTGATCTCTGGTGATTGTACCTCGCTCTTTGTATTTATGATATGAATATTTTGCTCCATCGACTTCTTTCGAAGTCTTTGAGGAAACGAAAGTGGAGGTACATATGCTTTAACTTTTACGGGGGCCCTAGGTAGATCATTCTCCACTTCTTTAATTGTCATCAACTGTTCCTTAGGATTTATTATTGTATTACCTAGCAATGTCCCTTGTGGATGTTCTGCAAGTTGTTGTGCTGTCTGACCAATTTGTGTCTCCAGTTTCTTGATGGATGCCTGCTGATTTTGAAAGTTCGTGTCAATTTGCTGGAACACCTTGTCCGTCTTCTGCACATATTGTTGGAACATCTCTCCCAAACTTGGTCTTCTTTCTTGCTAGAAATTGTTACCATATGAGTTGAAATTATGGGAGCTATTTTGAATAAAGTTTACTTGATCCTCTGAAGAAGTGAGCATCATGCAGCTCTCTGTAGCATGATTTCCACAATTCTCACATGCTGAACTGGCCATCATCGCATTTGCTCCATGTGTTTGCAGTTTTCCAAGTAACTCTACCTGTTTTGTTAAAGCTGCTATCTGTGCATTGGTAGATGTTGTGCTGTCTAATTCACACATTCTTGCTGCCTTTGGTTGTACCGCTCTTTCTGATGAGAACATTGAATGTGTGGTGGCAATTAACTCAAATAGGTCCATGGTTTGTTGCACTGATTTTCCTATGATTGATCCACCAGCAGAGGCATCAACTTGAGATTTGGACAGTGGTGTAAGTCCGGTGTAGAAGTACTGCACTTGGTTTCCTTGAGTGATTCCATGGTTTGGACATTTTCTCATTAGCTCATTAATCTATTCCATGCCTTGTGATAGCTTTCTCCCTCTTTCTGTTGAAAAGTTTGAATTTTCAATCTGATTTTAGCTACTCTGGCTGGTGGGAAGAATTTTTCGCAGAATTTCCTGGTCAGTTCTTCCCATGTAGTAATGCTGGCATGAGGCTTCGCATCTAACCACTCCAATGCAGCATCTCTCAATGTAAATGAAAGTAGTCATAATTTAATAGCATTTTCATTGACCCCCGGAGCATGGAAGTTCTGACAATTTCTGAAAAATCTGGAGATATGCGTGTTTGGATTCTCATGAGGTAGCCCATAAAATTGCAGAGTGTTGCTCATCAAGTTAATCCAATCTGGCCTGATCTGAAAGTTATTCATCCCAAAATCTGGATGCACAATACTGGAGTGCATGGGTGCTACTATAGGTGTCACGAATATTGATACTGGCAAATCACATTCATTTATTTCTCCTCGCTCATGCTGCGGTTCCGGTGGTGCCACAACTCTTGCGGCCATTTGTCCAATCAGCTGAATAGAGATATGGATATGTTGATTGTCAGCCATTTGATGTTGCCTTTTGTTTGTGTTCTTTGCGTCTTTATCTGAAGGTACGTTCTATCTCCGAATCAAACTGTTCAAGATCGTCGCCTTGGGCATGGAGCATACAACGAACACAATTTTCTATAAATAAAAGAAAAATAAACAAATCAAATAATAGTTAAAATAAAAAAATAAATTAAGACTAAAAGAAATAGTCCCTAGCAACGGCGCCAAAAATTTGTTGTAAAATTTTGTTTCACAAGTGTACGACCTGTAACAAGTAATAGTGGACCTAAGAGTCCAGATTGTCGATCCCACAAGGATTATTTTCTAACACTTAATTCAATTTTTCTCTTTAACTACTATTTGATTCAAACAAATTGAAAGTTGTAAAACCTGAGTTTTAATTTAAATTCTAGAAAATAAATGGATGTTCAAACTATTGGTTGAAGAATCAAATAATGAATGGATGTTAGGGCAGAATAACTTCACCAATTGATCACCTTTACATCTCAAATTAAAACTTATTTCTAATGTAGTGCTGAGTCAAATTCTCCTATTGTATTCAATTTACCCCTCTTGAGTTCTCATTGAGCCCATTTGACTAATTATATTTCATATCTCTTTGCAAATTCAACTTAGTTAAATGAGTTCTATGTCCTAGGAATTCAATTATGACCACAATAAATGGTATAGATATCTCTACTCGTTATACCAATGTACTGAATTTTACTACATGGTCTAAATCATAAATTCATATCTCTATTTGTAAAGAATTCACAAAAATCATCAAAGTATTGATCAGATAATTTAATGCATTCAACTCATAGCAAAATTAACACATGGAAAAACTAAAAATTGAGAATATTAATAAGAGAATGTAAAGGATCCCAATTAATTACATTATTCCCCCTAACAATGAATTTAGCTACTCATAATACAAGAAGAAAAATGGGAAATTGTCTTAAAATACATCACCGGATTTGTAATAAAGTTGTAGAAGAAAAAGTAGAATTCTTGCACTAAGATCTCCTTCATCTTCCAATAAATACTTCTAATCTTCAATTGCTTGGTATTAATCTTCTTGAATTTCTCTTTTGAATCTCCCTTTTTGTTGTCTTGTCTCCAATATGTTAAGAACCCCTCAAAAGTATAAGAAAGATGTATTTATAGGTGACCCTCTGTTTTGTGTAGAAATAGGGTTTTTATGGATTTTAAAACGGGCCAAAAAAATGCGCCGTAGATACTCATTCGCAGCGCCTAAGCGCTACAAGACAGTGCCTGGACGCTACGTCTTCAGCACCTAGGCACTAATGATAGTGCCTGGGCGCTATGATTGCGGCTCCTAGGTGCTGCCTCTCGGGTCCAAATTTCATCTTTTTTTCAGTTTTGTAGTGCCTAGGCGCTATGAATGCAGTGCCATCTTTTTGCCCTAATTTCATGTTTTTGGCCTCTTCGTCCACTTTAATATCTCTTTTTGCATAGCCTCTCCTAATCTTCAAAACAACACTAACAAACACATCAAAAACATTCTATACTCACAAGATCTAGCATTTAATCAAGATAAACTTGTGCAAAAATTATGAGTGAAACAAACTCATCAAACATACTTGCTATTATTGTGAATTTGGTTGGTGCATCGTGTAAGCGTGTAGATGTTCTTCGAGCAAGTTATCATTCTAATATTCTGGAAAAGCTTAATATTGGGAAACTATCTAGTTGAAGTGGTCAGTTTCAAGAAATGAGTTTGGGACGCCCATGTGATACTAGGTGGGGCTCACACGCTATGTATCTTTATTGCTTTGCTCACCAGCTTAAGTTCGCAGTTGTATCTGTGGCACGTAGGAATTGTATGCTTGAACTTACTTGCTATTATTGTGAATTTGGTTGGTACATCATGTAAGCGCGTATATGCTCTTCGAGTAAGTTATCATTCTAATATTCTGGAGAAGCTTAATATTGGGGAACTTTCTAGTGGAAGTGGTAAGTTTCAAGAAATGAGTTTGGCACACCCAGGTGATATTAGGTGGGGCTCACACGCTATGTATGTTCATTGTTTTGCTCACCAATTTCAGTTGGCAGTTGAATCTATAGCACGTAGGAATTGTATGCTTGGTGATTTTTTCAACATACTTGATATTATTGTGAATTTAGTTGGTGCATCGTGTAAGAGTGTAGATGTTCTCCAAGCAATTTATCATTCTAATATTCTGGAGAAGCTTAATATTGGAGAACTTTCTAGGGGAAGTGGTCAGTTTCAAGAAATGAGCTTGGCATGCCCAGGTGGTACTAGGTGGGGCTCACACGCTATGTATGTTTATTGCTTTGCTCACCAGCTTCAATTCGCAGTTGTATCTGTGGCACGTGGGAATTGTATGCTTGAACATACTTACTATTATTGTGAATTTGGTTGGTACATCATATAAGCGTGTAGATGCTCTTCGAGCAAGTTATCATTCTAGTACTCTGGAGAAGCTTAATATTGGGGATCTTTCTGGTGGAAGTGGTCAGTTTCAAGAAATGAGTTTGGCACACCCAAATGATACTAGATGGGGCTCACATGCTATGTACGTTCATTGCTTCGCTCACCAGCTTTAGTTGACAGTTGTATCTGTGACACGTAGGAATTGTATGCTTGATGATTTTTTCAACATACTTGCTATTATTGTGAATTTGGTTGGTACATTATGTAAGCGTGTAGATGCTCTGCAAGCAAGTTATCGTTCTAATATTCTAGGGAAGTTTAATATTGGGGAACTTTCTGGTGGAAATAGTCGTTTCAAGAAATGTGTTCACCACGTTCAGGTGATACTAGGTGGGGCTCACATCTACCAACAATTGCTTGTTTCATTAATATGTTTAATGCTGTCATAGATGTTCTTAAGAATATATCAGAAGAAGGCATACATTCAAATAAAAATTCTTCGGCCACAAGACAGATGGACACTTCGCAAGATTTTGAGTTTGTGTTTAATCTCCACTTTATGTTTGAAATTCTTGCAACTACAGACGACCTTTTGCAAGCCTTATAGAAAAAGGATCAGGATATTCAGCATTCTATGAGGTTATTGAATTTGTGTGTGTATTGCAGAACTCGAGAGACAATGGTTGGGATACTTTATTGAGTAGGGTGATTGAGTTTCGTGTTGATAGACATATTTTAGTGCCCGAAATGGAGGATATTGTAGTTGTGAAAGGTCAACCTAGGCATGTAGCTCAGCAGGTGGCTTATTTTCATCGCTTTTATGTTGATATGTACTGTCATGTATAAACTCAATCTTGCAAGAGTTGATTGATCGTTTTTCAGAAACAATTACTGAGCTCTTTACTTGCATTTCAAGTCCAAGAGACTCATTTGCAGCTTTTGATAAGGATAAATTGCTGCGTCTTGCTCAGTTCTATCCTTTGGACTTCAATAGTGAAGAGTTTTTATTACTTAGACCTCAACTTGATAAGTTTCTTATGCTTGTGAGAATGGACAAAGCTTTCTTTAATCTTAATAGTATATCTTGTGTAGCTCAGAAGTTGGTTGAAACTAGAAGTTTCTATTATTTTCCATTGGTTTATAGGCTGCTATGAGTCTAATCAACTTTTGAAAGGGCATTTTCTGCTATAAATCTAATCAAGAGTGATTTGTGCAACAAAATAGGAAATGACTGGTTGAATGACAATTTGGTGGTTTATGTGAAGAAAGATATTTATAAAAAAAAAAAAAACTTGAGAATGAGGCAATATTTCAATGTTTTTAAATCATGGGAACCTGTAAAATGCAGTTGTCTAAGTTTATAGTTACAGAGTATATTTTTTTTTACTATTTTAGGTTGTATTGAAGTATATTTTCATATGTATATGATTTTGATGTTTTAGTTCATTTACATATATATATTTAATATCTTTTAATATTATGTAACCAAATTTTAATAAATAATCGAACTATTAGGATCGTGGTCAACAGTCAACCCGCCAGCTGGACTTTGATCCTGGATTCGTCCATGATAATAAGTGCATTTTATGTGCTTATTCGGACTTATATTCTTATTTAATTATATATAAATTGTGTGATTATCTACTTCATTCGTGTAAATTATTTAAATTGTATAACAATCCCTATTTTGATAAATTTATATGAAAATAGGCTATTTGGAGTTTAATTGGAGTTGATTTGAAGCAATTGAAGATTAACCATATTGCAAGAGATCTATTGAAAATATTAATGGAGCATACGGTAAAAATTCATAAGTTTCAGGAGTTAAAATCAACCTTTGAAAAGTTTGAGGACTGATTTACAAACATCAAAACTTGTCTTGGGTCAAACTATTATGATTTCTGGAATGAAGGGATCCTAATTACAAAATAAAAGAAGATGGAGGAATTAAGTTGCATGAGAAAAGTAATTCAATTGAAAAAGGAATTTGTTTCCTTTTATATCTTAAACTTTTTGGTAGAAACTAATTTGAACTTTTTAGTAGAAACCAATTTAAACTCTTTGGTGGAAATCAAGTTGAACAAGGATTTTGCATAAATCTTTTCTATAAATAAATATCTCAGTCTAACAATTAAAAGGGGATTGTAGAGTTATGTTATACACATATATTCAAGTCAAGACTTTGGGATTCATTGTACATAAATTATTCAAGCCATGAGGGAAAAATCAATAAATCAATCAAGCAGCTAGGGTTTTAAGAATTTCACAAGATGAGACGGATTCTTGGTGCAAGATCTTCATCTTTTCTTGTTTTTTCTTAATGCCCATTGATGTACTTTAATTTCTTCTCGTATTTTTATTTTTCCATGATGTGTAATTAAATATTTAGTTAGGATGAATGATTGTAACCTAGTTTTGAATCTTAATTTTAATTAAAAAGTTTTAGATTTTGAGAATTGTTTTTACTTCTATTCTTAATGCTTAGATTAATTGGCCACTAATTTATTGATTCCGTGAACAATTATTACATAGAGATGTGGATTATTAGTTTACACCACGTAGTAAAAGTCGGTAAATAGTATAAAACGTAGAGATACTTATAATAGTTATTGTGATCGTTACAAGAATTCTTATAACATAAGTGTGTTTAATTAAGATTGATTCACATAGAGATACAAAATGAATTATTTAAATAGACTCAATGAGAAGTCGAGAGAGGTAAATTGAATATATTAAAAGAATTCAATCGAGTAAACATAATCACTTGTATAAAACTTTGTAATTGAGATTAAAGAATAACCATGGTAAAATATAAATCCTAACACTTAAACCATTATTAAAAAATCAGCTTTTTACTTATTTTAGTATATTTAAAAGAGAAAATCACAAAAAGAGGGAAAAAAACTACTTTGTTTGTTTTCTATCAAATTCAAGTTAAGAATAATTGAATCAATTGTTAAATAGTAGTTTTCGTGGAAACGATATCCGTACTCATAGGTCTACTCTTTTACCTATTTGATATCGTACACCTGCGATAGAAAAATGTAGCAGTATATTTTCAATTTGTACCCATTTTTCTATACTACATGCTTAGTTGTGTTTGTTGGATATAAAAATCAACATTAAAAAGGTTGTTTTCAAATAAGTAACTTCAATGTACTTTAAAATGCAGCTAAAAAGTAGGATTTCTACTTTCTTTGCTCCATCTAATATCATTATTAAAAGTGAATAGAAATAACGTGATACATGAGATTAATGACTCGATGTAAGAAAACAATTAAAATTTTGAAATTTTTGTCCAACTTGACAAAGTTGAATGTATATTACCGTATATTATTTATAGATAAGTTTTCTTGCATACTCTTTTAGACTATTTGGAACGCTAGAAATATTGTTTATATGACAAAAATTCCAAAGTTTTTTCTTGGTCACATCATTATTTTTGTTACCACGCCTCCTATATGGTGAGGATTAATATTAGATTTTTAGTAGATTTCAATAGAAGTTGATAAAATGTTTGGTTGAAAAGTTGTGGGTTCATGAAATGTGCGACCAAAATTAATTGTTGCCTTTGACTTGAATAAAACCTTGATTTTAATTTTGACCAAATAGGGACTAAATATAAACAAGCCTAGTGTTATAATTGAAATAAAAATTAAAAGTGTAGGTTGAGTGCACTAGTAATTTTATCTTGAAATGTCAACATTATAAATAGAAGTAGTCCAAACTTTTATTTGCTTAATTATATTTTCATCTTTATTCGATATGAAATTTATCTCATAACCTAGACAACTGGAGGAAAACATTCTCACTTTTAGCAAATTAATTCGAGTCCAAAATATGGTTTGACAAAGAATTTTTAGATTATTAGCTTGTAGGTCATATAAACATAATACATGTTAAACTTAATTCACACCGTTAACATTCTCGCCATTTACGTACCGTCAAAAGTTCCCATTATAGTAATGAAATTTGAGTATCTTGTGCTCAATTTAATGTACAACCGATCTTTCAATTAAATAAGAAACTTAAAGAAAAAAAATTACTACAATTATATTTAATATTTACGAAAAGTATCACGTAACAAAATATAACCATTTAGTGCTTCTTTATATTATTTATTTTCTCATATCATGACAGAAAAAAAAGCAAGTAAAAATTACCTTCAGCATATAATTTCCTCTCCTTTGTACTATTTCTATATCTTCTATTTGTTTGGTGTATAGATCGATCATCTAACTTTTTTAATCCGAATATTTTTCATCAAATAAGATACAAATATAATTTTTTTTACTCTCCCACATGGTGCTCGTTATATGTCCATGTCCCCTATAATTATTTTCAATCATCTAATCACAACATTACTTTGACAAAATTAAATTATGCCCTTGTTTGAGCCCTATTTTGGAAGAAAGAAAGCATATTGGAACAGAAGATTGATAAAGAATGTGTTGTTTTGGATTTAGTTTTAGATTTAGATTTACAAGTAATATTATTTTATTGGAGAATGTGTTGATGAAAATAGTTTTTGAAAAAATAATTTTTTAGAAAAATGAAGCTCAAACAAGGGCATATTAAATGATGAAAAAAATAAAATCTTAAACATAAACCGTATGGTTCAGTATAGGGCTCATTTTAGTCTAATATGAGGGCAGAGCCATATACAGTCCAGTGTAGACCGGTGCCCACACTCACCTTTCTGTAACTGTGAATGATGATGCAGCGTCGCCTTTTTGTGATGTCATGGAATTTCATATTTACTCTCATTTCTTGATGCAAGAATTGAATAATATGTAGAATTCACTGTCCACTGCCATTCTACAAAATTCTGGTATAAATAGTGGCTAGGAGAAAAGCGGTGGGAAAATAATGCGTGAGATAAAAATGTCCACTAACATTCTACAAATTTTTGGGAGAAATAGTGTGAGAGAAAAATGGGCTGCTCGATAAAATTATTGGAAGTGAAATATTAAATTATTGAAGTAGAAAGTGTGGTTTGTCATAAAATTAGTCGTACAAGTCTCTTTGTTGTAAAGAGAATTTTCATTTTTATACTTCAAATTTAACAGTAAATTTTGCCCGCACTAATTTTTTTCCCGCCCCCACTGGTTTGATACGTTGTAAGTTGGGGTTAACTTTATGAGATCTTGTGGATCTACAACTAAAAAGTTGGTTCTTATTTGTTTCGATATACTTTGCTCTCTTTGTGGGGGTGCTTGCTGCACATAGTGGAACGGCCTAATTTTTTAGCCCCTCGATTAGGCTTTTTGGATGAATAATCCCGGGTTCTTGAGTCCTAGGTTTGTTCATTTAATTTTAGTTCATCTAAGGCAAGTGCAACAACAATTATAGGCAATTAGAAACCTTCGCATACCACCCGTGTGACCAAAACTCATATGTTTGAAATTGCTTAATTTTGCTCTTAATTAGAAAAACTAAAACACAAACCAACTTCTTAAATCTTTGTGTTTTATTAGGGTTATTTTTAATTAAACTACAATTGAGATCCAATCATCATAGGACGATACCATGCTCATCTTTTATTGCTTGTTTATGATCTATATATTTGTAAGAAAAATCACGATAGTAGTCATTATATGAATGTCATCGTTATTCCTGAGTTCATGCATCCGTAGAACTCTTTGACTGTGACTCATCATCAGGGGAGTCCTTGTGATTCCACAAGCACCTTCAATTTGGGTAATTGACCATCAAATATCTTGAGATCGTCATATCTAGCCTTAAATTTCCGGGTAAATTTCTGCTCTACCTCGTGGAAAGCTACCTATAGGGCTTTCATGCCGCAAACATCATAGTCAGCAAGGTGTCCTCTATCTCCAATTTAGACATCAAAACACAAGGATAGGCACTAGAGTGTAGGAATAAAGTTTAAAATAAACCCACCCTAACATGCTTCATTAATTCATTATTAACGTAGTTCATATTTTTCCTCTATATCACTTGCATTAAGAATAATTAAGTCACAACAATAATTTTGAAGTAATACCCTATTAGAACATCTACAAGAGACTCTCTAAATAGTAAATACAACACGTTCTCTATTTTAGAGAGTCAATACTCAAAAAAAACTCCAAAAGATTATATTTTAATTTTTTAAAATAAAGTTATAATAGTAACAATAGTTGCATTTAATAAGCAACATATTTCAATACTATTCTTCTTAAATTATTCAAATCACATTTAGCTTTTATTTGGTTTAGATAAAAATTAGATTTTTAGAATATTTGACTTCAATTTAATTAATTTTCTAGTAGAACCAAATATGAGCTAAAATTAATTGATCATTCACATATAAAAAAATATGCGAAAAAATGATAAATATTTCTTCAAAAAATGCAAATCAAAAAGTCAAAATAGGGAACATTGTTTGAGTGTATAAGAATCCCATCTCTAAATTTAAAGATATTTTTTTATTATGTATAAAATGTTCTTTATAAATATTAAATAGAGACTCTTTGGAAGATACTCTTAAATTATATTTGCGCATACAAATGTTAATTTGCTGAGTCTATATATTTGCATAAAGGATTTCTGGAGTCTATATATTTGCACATACAAATGTAAGTTTGGACTTGAATTCTAGAAAAAAGCTCACAGTTACATGTATGGCTTCTATTCAGTGAAAAATCTCTCTCTACGCAAATGTAGATAAAAAGCTGCCTGCATTTTTGAAGAAATAGTTATGCACTAGATGCATTGTTGATATTTTTTGGTTACAACATAAAATTTCGCATTTCTGTGAAAGAATTAACATTTTTTTTGGTTGGTTGAATTGCATGGTTCAGCTGATGAAGTGTTTTGAAACTATACCTTTTACGGAAGCAATACGAGTGTGATGAACATGGATAAGTCGTCAAAAGGAGAATATGGGCGTCTATGATCTCGCTCTTCACAAAATCCATCACCATCTGTTGTGAACCAGGTTTGGTTTTTGTCTTTTTGGTGGTTTTTTGAAGTCTTTTAATCTTTTTTTTCATAGTTAATTTTGGATGTTTACTCAATGTTATTATCTGTTAGCTTCTAACCAATTTTTACAATTAGTAACTCTTTTTCCAGATCCAATTCCTCCACCCCCGCAAACCCCAGTTAGATTTAGGTATTCTATACTTTTTAATTATTGGGAGAACCCCAGTAATATTATTTAAAATCATTGTTAGATTGTTTTCCTTTAGTGTTTAAAAAAAAAAAAAAGAATTAGAAGTGAAAAGAGGTATAACAACAATAAGAAAATAAAAGATTTTCAAAGAAGTATTATTTAAAAATTGGCTTCTGCATAGCAGAGGTGGCTCAATCAACTTCAGTAGTCTTAGATAAAAATGGTTGATAGAGTCCTTGAGAAAAAATAATAAAAAGTTAATGGACAAAATGATCATCACCAATGATCCTCCGTCAACGATGACTGAGGAGCATTGATGACATTGTCGGCAACCACTGATAGTGATTCGGTTATTGATAACCAACAAAAAGCTCTGTAAGGGGATTACTGATGAGTGATTTTATCAGCAATCACTGACGTGAATATGGAAACTTTTTGTTTCTACATTTTGGATAAGCGGTGGGAATGAGGGTTATTCTGTACATGTGTATACTTTAATTTATTTCATTGCGGGTGTTACACATGGGTGTTGTATTAAATAAGTTGTGCGGTTCATGTTAGTGGTTGAGCTGACCGCATCTATTGTAGCAAAAACTTGTGCCCTACATGACAATTGTTAAGAATGATCAAAGATAGCCTTGAATTAGATGGCTTAGATCTCTATTTATATTGAAAATTTTAAGAAATTTTACTTATATTAAACTTCACTTTTCAGTAATAAAATCTATTTTGTATACCATTTCTTCCTTGTATTAAATGATCATCACAAACAATCACCGATAGTGCTTCGGCTGTTGATCACTAGCATGAAGATCCGTAAGTGATGACTGAAGCGCATTGAGGATCACCAGTGGCAACCACCGTCGATGATTGTATCAGCAACCACTGACTAGCATATTTAAAATTTTAGTTTCCGCATTTTAGGTAAGTAGTGGGGATAAGGTGTAGGTGTACACGTGTATGCTTTAATTTATTTTAAATTCACAGGTGTTACACCTTCAATATGTGTCTAGTATGAAATAAGTTACGCGGTTCATGTTAGCGGTTGAGTTGAGAGCATCTATCGTGGAAAGAAATACGTGCAGTTAACAATATTGTAAAATATGATAAAAGATGTCCTTGAATTAGCTGGCTTGATATTTCTATTTTTATTGGCACTTAAGAATCTTCTTTATCTTAAACTTGACTTTTCAATCTAATAAAATCTGTTCTGTTTGTTATTTTTTCCTTTTTTAAAATTTTTGGTTTTTCTATGACAGTGGAGCTCTGAGGACCATGAATCTTCAAGGCCTTCATCACAGTGCAGTCCACTTCATGAGCCTAGTCCTTTGGGCTTGCGGTTGAACAAGACTCAATCTTTATTAGAATTGATCGAGAAGAGGCTCTCCGAGGAAAATAGTGCTTCTCTTACAGCGAAATCTAGTAAAAATCTCAACTCGCCAATCCAAAATGACGCAAGGAGAACTATCACTTCAGGTGCAAATGACAAGTTAAAGGCTTCAAATTTTCCAGCTTCACTATTGAGGATTGGCATTTGGCAGGTATCAACTTTTGAAATCATATCATGGTCAGAGGATCGTATTTCAAGAATGCATTTCATTAACTAGTCTGGGGTGATAAATATGAAATCAATTTAAGGAAAAAATCAACAACATAGCGTTGCAACAATAATTTTTTTTTTAATTTTTTTTTTCAAAATCACACTCCTTAAGCTAAGAACCTAGAGTTTCCCACGGTCAACTAAAATGTATGTGCTATGAGTTGACTATACTTGATTAAGTGCATGTTTCTCAAAGCTTATAACGACAATTACTTATAAATTGGTTAAACTCTATTTTTATGCACACATTCCGTATGACTCATAACTTTAACATATCTTTTCACCATTTATCATTTGAGACCCATTGCAATTACAGTCTCTCACAAACATTTACTAATCCTAACTAAATGAACTTTTAGAAGAAAAAAGAATGTTATATCTAACTGTAGGAAGAAACTTCTATAGGTGAATAGACAACTGTTACATTTAGATATGTGTTATGCCTATAGTATGTTACTTATATAATATCTTTGGCAGTATGTGTCAAGTTTTCAAAACAGTCTCATGGCGAAGTGTTACTTTACAAAGCAAAAACTTGTGTGAGAGGTTCTTGAAGGTGGTCTCAAGAGTAAAATTGAAATTCTGTGGTCTGACATTATAGCTCTGAAGGCAACTTGTAGTGATAACGGCCCTAGCACATTAACTATAGTGGTAATTGTTTTATCTTTTTTCATTCCACAGATAAAATGTATTCCAACTACCATTTATAGGTGGCTTCTCATTTTACTTTACCTTCAATCTTTCGTTGGTGCAGTTGGCTCGGACACCCATCTTCTTCATAGAGACCAATCCACAACCCAGAAAACGTACTATTTGGAAGCCAACTTCTGACTTCCCTGGTGAGGAAGCTAGCAAAAATAGGTATGTGATAGCATTCTCTTTCATAGATTATGTTTTTCATTCAATTGAAATTTCTTGTTAAAACTGTTGGGTTTCTACTATAATCCTTATAATTACTTGACTGAATAATTTTGAGATCCCAAAAACTTTGGTCCTTGTTTTTAAGTGACTGGCCCTTTGATGTTGTTTGAACAGGAAGCATTTTTCACAATGCTCTCCAGATGTGTTAAACAAGAACTATGAAAAGTTGATCAGTGTGACAGGTGTCTTTATATTTTGAGCCAACAACTCGAGATAGTTGTGGATTCTTCATATTTTGAAGCACGTGTTTCTAATTTTGAAAATCCAGAATAATCCAAAGGTCGTGAATTTGATGAAGTAGTTGCCACTCAAGGATGTTCTCCCTCTATCTTCCAGGATGTAGAATTAGTAGCTATCTCACAATCATCTCCTTTGACTTTCAGACAGAATCCTAATCCTATGACTGCTCGACACATGTCTGAAGAAACCTCGTCCTCCAGCTCAGGTACAATATTGCTCATCTTCAATGTGAATAGAACCTCTCCGGTGAAGCTGATTTTCAAGTAATTATTATAAAGATAATAAAATCTAAGCACTCATTATGAGTAAAAATTTACTTATCAGCTTTTCTCCAAATAAGTTGCGTTGCTGAATGTTGATCTTGCAAATTATTTAGCTGTAGTTGTAATTTTGAATTCATTTTCAACCAAATGACTTGCTAATTGTGGAATATATGTTGTGTCTAATCTTGCAAATGACTCAATGATGCATGAAAAGACCAGTGACGATATATTTGCCTCTTAAAGAAATATATGGATCTGGTTTTGGTTGCATGCCAATGGCAATTTAATTCCCATGTCAAGGGTAGACTAATTCGCAAAATTTGAGCTTCATCTTCCGTGCATTGCCTCTCTTTCAAAATTTTAGTGAGATGTCCCGACCTAGATAAATATTTCTTGTACTTTTGCTTAGAATAGCATAGCAACTGATGTGATTTAAGCTACACATACTATCACTACAAAAAAATGTGGCTTTAGAGACTGAAATTTCCGTTGCTAATGACTTTCACAAATGAATTGATCAGTTGGAAAATTCGTCGGTAACACCCCCGTCGCAAATTTTAGCGACGAATTACCTAGGTCGTTAGTTATTTAGTGACGGAAGAAGCCGTCGGTGTTTACCAACAGCTATTCCGCCACTAATTAGCAACAAATTTTTCCATTGCAAATTAACTACAGGTTCTGTCTGTTGATGATTACCAACAGATTTTCATCGCTAGTTTGAATTAAAATATTAAAAAAATATATGATTTTATTTTAATAATTATTTTCTCGAAAAACTTCATACATTAAAGTTTTTTAAAAAAAAAAGGCCGAAATCGAATAGAATAATGTAAACATTCCTTAATTTCAAGTTCCATTTTCTCCCTCACTAAATAATCAAGATCATCCAAGAAGCAAGCAGCCCATTCATTTTTTGTAATCTAATTCTTCTGCAAGGAGTGGCGGAAATGGAGATGGGAGGTAGAGGGTGAAGGGCAAGGACGGACACTCATGGGGTCATGTGGGATCAGATGACACCACAATATATATTTTTTTATTTTTTATTTTTTGTAGTCGTCAACAGAAATCAAACATTCAAGCATAGATTGGGCAAGGAAAACGTATGAAATGATTAGATTTATGTTCTTCACAAAATACAGCAGAAAAGGCTAGTTTTTCGCTAGATTTCTTATCCATCACAACAATACAGTGAAACAATAGAGTGTTGAGAGGAGGATTGAATCATAGATGCAAATATGAAGCAGCAAATGAAGATACACCACCGACTCACAAGAATTTCCAGAACATTGGTGTGATTCCTTAATTCGTTTTTACTCAATTTCTAGAATATTCCGGGATTTACTTATACCAAGCTTCATCTTCATATGTTTACTAGCAAGTTGGAGGATATTATAGAAATTATTATTGTTGGAATAAAAAGCACAGCCATCCTAGAAGAACTATCTACCACCGACTTCTAACATCTATGTATATGTCTGTCTCTATTGTATATATGTATATGTGCAAGTGTGCAAGTGTGAGTAGAAAGGAACAGAGAAAGAGAGAGGTAGTGTGTAAAGTTGAGTAATGTCAGTGGAGGAAGTCAAAAATAGTGAGTGGAGTAATGTTAGTGGAGAAAGAGTTGCAGTACCTTGTTTGTACCTGGATATCTGATTTACCTTTTGGGGTTTCTATTCTTTTATAAATCAAAATTTTATAATATTTTTTGAAAGATATAGAAAGAGGGTGGCAATGTGTTTTGGAAGAAATGAAATATTTGAGTGAAAATTGGATGGAGGGAAATGAAAATTTTAGAGGCAAGTCAAATTTTAGGTGGAAATTGGAACTTTTTGAATTTTCTGACGGAACTTTTCGTTGGTAACTATGTAATGCTTTTAAAAATTTAATTTCAATGTTTACCAACAGATTTTTTCTGTTGGTAATTTATTTTACCATTTTTAATATTTTTTTCAACGAAATCATCCATTTTAAAAAAATTTCACTAAATTATTTAATTTATTATTTTTAAATTTTTACCGACGAATTAGTAACAAAATTGTATCAACAAAAATCTTCCGTTGGTAATTCTGTCCTTAAGTTAGTATTTAATTTCTAATAATAATAAAATGGTAATCCGTTGCTAATTTGTTGTAATTCCGTCGATAATAGCAACGAAAGTTGTCGGTCTGTAAAATTCCGTTTCTATGGCCACCTTTTCTAGTAGTGTATAAATAGATATTTATAATATTATTGGGATTCTGAAATTGTTTTGATGAAGGATCTTGATAATATTTCTTATAAGAATGTTTCTCAACCTTTCTTGTTGTCTTAGATTAGTATGTTTCTAGCTGAAGTCTCTTTTGTAATATTTGATTTTCTGCATCCATGTTTTGTAGTATATTTTCAGTTTGTACCCATTTTTCTATACTACATGTTTAGTTGTGTTTGTTGAATAAAAAAATCAACTCTAAAAAACGTTGTTTTTAAATAAGTAGCTTCCTTCTACTTTAAAATGCGGCTAAAAAGCAGGATTTCTACTTTCTTTGCTCCATCTAATATCATTATAAAAAGTGAATAGAAATAATGTGATACACGAGATTTGTGACTCGATGTGAGAGAACAATTGAATTTTGAATTCCAACTTGACAAAGTTGCATGCAGACAATTGAATTTTGAATTCCAACTTGACAAAGTTGCATGCAGATTACCATATGCTATAGCTAAGCCTTCATGCAAACTCTTGTGAAATGTTTCGGATGCTAGAAACATTGTTTATATGACAAAAATTTCAAATAATTTTCTTGGTCACTACATCTAATATTAAAATTGAAATAAAAATAAAAAGTGCAAGTTGAGTGCACTCCATAGACTTGTAATTCTATCTTAAATTGTCAACATCATTAAGAGAAGTTGTCCAAACTTTTATACATTGATTTATGTTTTTATGTTTGACTTCCATTCTCAAATTAATTAATCACACATTTTACGGAATCCACAACTTTTCTATCACACATTTAATTGACTTTTATTAAAATCTATTAAACATATAATTTTTAGCTAGACAAAATAGGGGCATTTACACTTTTCTAATCAGTGGCGGCCCTGAGTATAGGTGAGGTAAGCGATTATTGAAGAAAATGAAAATTATATGTATGAAAGTCTTTAAAATATAATTATTATATGTAAACACAAAAAATTAATAAAAATTGAAAATACAAAAATATTTAAAAAAACATATAAATAGCATAAAACTTATCACTTACATTTATGCATCACATAAATATATCACAAGAATTACTCTCTCTGTAACTAATTTGACCATTTTATCTTCCAAACATTCCTTTTCTTTTCTTAACTAAACAAAATGTATTTTTGTCTCTTCAAATTTCATATCCATTAGTCACCTACCATAATTTTTTTTCAAGTTCACCTAGCATAAATTTTTTTTGAAAGCATACAACGAACATTTTCCATCAAAGTTCTACTCATTTGTTCTATCACATCATTCTATTGAGGAGATTTAGGCACTGTTAAGTGTCTCAAGATGCCTTTAGAAACTATTGAATTCATCCGAATAGAACCCCAACCTATTATATGTACGTAGACGCTTAATTTTTTCTCCAGCCTGCTTTTTTATCATTGTTTTACATTTTTTGAAGGTCTCAAACACACCACTCTTTTGTTTTAAGAAGAATACCCAAACTTTTCTAGAGAAATCATCAATCACGATTAACAAATAATAAGCACCTCCTCTCAAAGGTACCTTTGTCGATCCTTAAAGATTTGAATGGATATATTCAAGTATCCCAACGTATTATGTCTTCCAGTAGTAAATTTGGCCCTTTTTTTGTTTCCTAAAGACACAGTGCTCACAAAACTTCATCCTACTAGTTTTCTGCCCATTAAGAAGCTCCCTCCTACTCAATTCTGTCATATCATTCTCATTCATATGGCCAAGTCGCATATGCCAAAGTTTTGTAACTTTCTATCTCCTATAATTGTGTAATCCTGCAAAATGTACACAACTGTGTAGAGTTTCCCTGTCCCTTTATGACAAGAAGAGCATCATGAGTTACCTTCAAAATTTCACCTTCACTAGTGTAATTATAACCCCTTGAGTTAAGTGTACTCAAAGAAATGAGATTTCGCTTCAGTTCTCGAACATGTCGCATGTCAGTATGTGTTTTGATTACACCGTTAAACATTTTGATTATGACTGTTCCAACTCCAACTATTTTACAAGGTGTGTTATTTTCCATAATTGCTACACCTCTCGAAACTCCTTCACATGTTGTAAATCAGTCCCTGTTGTGACACATATGTAAAGTACAAGCCGAGTTAAAAACTCATCCTTCACAAGGTTTGGAATCCATATCAGAAATCACAAGAAGCTCTCCTTTATTTTGCCCATCTTCCACAAAATCAACTTTTGCTGTGTTAGTAGGTTGCCTTTTCTTTTAGTAGCACTAGCAGCCTTATTCTAGTTTTTTTTAAGAAAAACAATCAGCCCTAATATGTCTCTTCTTCTTACAGTAATGACACACTTTTTCTGCATGTCTAGATTTCAATCTGCCTCTCATATTTCTACCATAATTCCTATCTTGTTTTCTTCCACGATCAATGAGGCCCTCAGCTCAACTCCCAGATGCTCCAACAAGATACCCCATCTTCTTCTTAGGTAATAAAGCATCATAGACTTCTTCTATGGTGAGAATATCTCGACTATAGAGAATAGTATTTCTAAAAGTTGCATGTGACAGCGACAATTAACACAACAAATCAATGTCAGGTCTTCCTCATCATACTTAATCTCCAATATCACCAAATTGGCTATTATTTCTTTGAACATGATTAATTGATAATCCAATGACACACATTCGGACATTTGGTGAGAATACAAGCTCTTTTTTAAGTGTAATCAAGCTCTTTGGCCTACAAAGTTGCTCCAACTTCAATCATAACACAGTGGCCCTTTTTTCCTTGAAGTCATTCTAAAGAATTTGATTTTGATAGATGTAGATGAATTTAAGATTGTGCTTTTCGATCCCTATGCAATTTTTTTCCTTGCATCTAGGTTGAAGGTATCTTATCAAAAATAAGTAAGACTTCCTCCAAATCCATCTATGTGGAACTGCCCGCATATTCACTTACCATAAACTAAATCTCGTATATCGATCAAATAATGAAATATCATACTTTATCGTTGTGATGCATAGTAATCAACCTTTGCTTTGATACCACTTGTTATGAATTTGACCAAAAGATTATGACAATAATAAAATAAATAAGAACAAAATAAAGAACACTAAGATTTACATGGAAATCTAAGATGGGAAAATCACGGCCAGAAGAGGAGAAATCCACTATAATCAATAACGATTCTGTTTACAACAAAATCTCAATGCTTCCAATTAAGATCTGAAGTTCTCACGATATTGTATGAATGTTTTGAGAACAATATAAGTCATGGCTTATGTATACAAAATCCTAGAAACCAAATTACAGTCAAATAGAAGTCCATAATGCGTCAAAATGCGAAATTCAGGAAACCCTATAGCGACAGATGAGCGATAGCCTCGCCTTTCGAGCATCGGGCGGGTGACACATGAGCGTGAACTTTCTGTTGAAATTCTGTTGGTGTCGCTTGAGCATCTAGCTAGCAACAGACTAGAAAAAATAGGACAAATTTTCTTCTCGATCCATAATTTTGATCTCTTCAAGACCACCTCAACTTGGACTCCAATACCCACTAAAATTTGTGTCACATTGCAACAGTTATAATCTTGCACAAAGTTGTAACCATCCTAACTAATTTCAGTTTTAAAAAAAATGTAAAATGTAACTGTAAAAAGAAACATCTATAAGTGAATAGAAAACTATTACATTTAGATGTGGTATGCCTAAGTATATATATATATATATATAGTATTAGTTAGTGATCTCAACTTAGTGAGTCCTTTCTTCCGTGATGAACTGTTGGCACCAGTCCTACATTTTGATAGATTGAACCGCCGAATTGGAAAAATTGGGTGCTATCATATAGCTTTGTATCGGCTAAGTTCATGAGTTGGAGATAAGCGGACTCGAACCACCGACATCTGCCGCAGGGTAAACCACCACCTCTCAGTCTCCCTGATTGATTCTACCATAGAGGCCGACGATAGACAATAACTTCTCCCCGAACACAGCTTACAACTTTCATCGTACTGTGCTTTCCAAAGAGCAACTCTTTTCAAAATCTCACTCAAAAGGTGCTGAGTTAGAATCCCATTCTAACTAAGGATTTTTGTGGTTCCGGAGATTCCAGCTACAGGAGAACCAGGA